AGTGTGTGCGTCAACATTAGCGTAAAACCAGCGTCCTGGAGGGGGTCGAAACCCGGTTCTATCAAGGACCCGGTTCCACTTTTTTCAAAACCCGAAAATCAATACCGTTTGGGCTTATCGATACCACTATGGAGTCTGGTGTTTTTTTTATTATTACAATAGTAATTGTGAACTCCGTGTTGTAATCGGCAGCATACAAGCTAGTTAGCTTGAAAAGTAAATCAAGTTTCAGACGTGCTGCGTGATGATGTGTTCAGGTTGGCTCAGTAAAACCACAATTAGGTTATCATGATGCGTTCAAGTGTAACGTTAAGAAAAGGGTAAAGGTGCTGGCTGTGGTGCAGCTGCTGAGGAGAGGTGGCCCACACTAACAGCTGGATCCCTGGAGGCTAGCAGGGAAACCTGTGGGGAGAAAGAGAGGAGGAGGGGGGGGGGTGAGCTGGAGGGTTCTGCTCCATCCTTAAGAAATCCAGATGTGCAGGGCATCTGGAAAGGGTTCTACACACAGGAAATGTGGGCATGGGGAGGAGGAAGCTGCAGTAAAGCTGCTGAAGCTGAGCTTCCGGTTTGTGTGTGTGTGTGTGAGAGTGTGTGTGTGTGTGGTTATCCAACATGAGACCTGGACACTGGGGGCTGGTTCAGTTCTCGGCGTTGGAGTCCAAGTGTTTTCAACCGTTTTTGAGCCAAAGTACTTTTGAATGTATTTAAAAGTCCAGAGGCACACCACCAACCCAAAATGTTAAACAAATGATCCGTCTACATTAACAATATAGTTGTTCTTCTCTTAGTCTCTTGAATAGGAACCAAACACAAAAATGTATTTATCATATTTTATATTCTTTCAAATTGCCCTTAACATGTCCACTTCAAACACACACCTGGAACAGGGCCACAGCAATGTGCTCTAACATTTCAAGAGGTTGTAGAACACTTCAAAGTCTTTTCTAAAACTTCTCCATCACTGTTATCCCAGTCTGCATCTCTAATTCTCCTGTCTGAACTACAGGCCATTTCGCCACCTGCTGCCATCTAGTGGTGAGGGGTCATTACTACAGGATCCACTGCCAGTCACCACAGCACAGACACATAATTATTCATTATCAAAAACAATTCTTTTTAGAACAATTAGGTGAAATTTGATCATTTTCAGGGTGGTACAGTGGTGTGATGGTCAGCACCATCACCCCACAGTTCTGGGTCGGAGTCCCGGGGGAACCGGGACCAGAGGGTTCTGGGTCGGAGTCCCCGGGGGAACCAGGACCAGAGGGTTCTGGGTTGGAGTCCCGGGGGAACCAGGACCAGAGGGTTCTGGGTTGGAGTCCCGGGGGGAACCAGGACCAGAGGGTTCTGGGTTGGGGTCCCGGGGGAACCAGGACCAGAGGGTTCTGGGTTGGAGTCCCGGGGGAACCAGGACCTTTCTGGGTGGTTCTGCATGTTCTCCTGTGTCTGTGGGTTCTCTCCGGGTTCTCCGGCTTCCTCCCACCGTCCAAAAACCTGCATGTTAGGTTGTTGGACTCCAAACTGCCCTTAGTGTGAGTGTGTGTGGTTGTTGGTCCTTGTGTGTCTCTGTGTGCCCCTGTGTCAATGTATTCTATCTCCTCCTGTCTCCACTGACTCTGACTGGGGGTTTTCCTCTAGAGAATATTGATGAGAACTGGAACATTGGGAGAAAAGCCTTTAAATGCAGAAACAGGAACTGCTGCAGCGCTCTGAGCCAATAGGGACGCCTCCTTCCTCACATGGAGCAGTAAATGGATTCATTTAGTTAAAGCTGGGATGATCTTCTCTTTCAGGTCCACACCACGGACTTTCCTGGAAACTACCCCGGATTTGACGACACCTGGAACATGTCGGCATTTCAGCGGGTCAGAACTCTGCAGATACACTCTGGGCTAGGGTTGTCACGATACAAACATTTTCAACTGGATACCGATACTCAGGAAAATACTCGATACCATTTTGGATACCACAAGGATAAAAACAAAGACCCCAAAATTGAACTGAATTGTGTCTTTCATTTCAAACTGACCTGTTACTGATGTTATCGTGGCCCACATTAATGACCATAACCCTAACCCTGACCCTAACCCTAACCCCAACCCTGACCCTAACCCTAACCCCCCAGCCTTAATAATTGTGAGAAATAAATATTTTTTGGTTAAACTTGTTTGGACCTATTGTACAAACCTATTTAACATTACACTATTTTAACCTAATATTATGTATAGAGTTTAATTCAGTGTTTGCTAGATTCATTTAACTATTTTTAAATTAATGTCTATATTGCCATGAAGCAATGAGGATTTTCTTGCTTGGGATCTTCCTATTGGTGACTTAATCAAAATGGCCGACTTGGATGTGGGCGGAGTTGGATATGTACTTGAATAATGGTAGCATGTTACTATTAGCCATTAGCCGCAGCTAACAAGGCTAACGTCTTGTTAATTACCATAAGCAACGTAAATAAATACATAAATAAATCAGAGAGAAGGGGGTGGTATCGATACTTTTCAAAATGAGTATCGTATCCAGATACAATATTTTAGTACCGATACTTTTGACAACCCTACTCTGGGCCTGTTTAAAACCCGGGGCTGATCCCTTAATGTCTGCTGCTGTGTGGTTTGTTTGTGTGCAGAACTTCCGGGTGGATGTGGTGCACATGGATGAAAGCAGCATGGAGTTCGACATGGTGGGGGTGGACGCCGCTATTGCTAACGCCTTCAGAAGAATCCTACTGGCAGAGGTGAGGAGTTCTGTCTGTCAAATGGAGATTTTATTATTATTTTTTACCTTGTCCTGTTCAGCATTATGGCAGCAGAACTGAAATCTGCGTACCGTGCTATGCAGAGCAAAATGGCTTTGCCAAGGGAGGCTTTGTTAGTGAAAACCCCCCTTTATTACCCAAAACGTCTTTATTTATTCATTTTTGTTACCAAACTTCCATATGTCCAATAATGCTGAACCTGACAGAGGGACAGGGGGGAGGGAAGGGTAGTGGAAAGGAGAGAGATCCTTTAGAAAGAAAGAGAGATAAAACAAAATTAAAAAAAGAAGGAGAAAGAAAGACAACAAGACCACATGACCAGCCGTTATGTCTGCAAAAAGGACACTGTTCCTTGTGGGAAATCCCAGTGGAGAACCTGTAGTGGAGAACCTTTAGTGGAGAACCTTTAGTGGAGAACCTTTAGTGTAGAACCTTTGGTGGAGAACCTTTGGTGGAGAACCTTTAGTGGAGAACCTGTAGGAGCTCCTGCAAAATGGCACAGGGAAAACACAAGAACAAACACGCAACAAAAGCAACAACATGGTAGCAGGACATTAATGAACTTCTCAGAATTGTGCAGCAACTGTAGGGAAGCCCTTATTTATTTATTTATTTAACCTTTATTTAACCAGGAAGTCCCATTGAGATTCAGAATCTTTTTTTCAAGACAGACCTGGCCAAGGTAGCAGCCAAACCACAGGAAGTTCATCCATATTTACAACATATTACATTTTTCATAATAAAATCAGAGCAATATGTTAAAACACATTGAGCATCTCAAGAAAGACAAGCACATATCTCCATCAGTACACTCTTCATGGTTGCTTTGAATTCATTAATGGACACGAGAGTTTCTAATTTGAGTTCTTTCTGGAGGTAAAGAGTAGGAGATACAAAAATGATCTCTACTTAGTGTAGAGATACAAAAAGGATCTCTACTTAGTGTATAGATACAAAAATGATCTCTACTTAGTGTATAGATACTAAAAGGATCTCTACTTAGTGTAGATCTTTTTGTTTGTTGGGTTTGTATGGTAGTGAGAGTGTTTCATTTCTTCCATTCAGAGGGTATTCAGAGGGATTTAGTAGAAGCTGTATTTTCTAATCCAGAAGAGGTCATGTTTAGAAGATGATTTGATTTTATGGATGTCTTTTAAAGGAGGGCTATCATTTAGTTCCTGGTTGTTCCAGATTGTGTTTTACTACCAAGTTCTTTTTGTCCCATTGAGGTCTAATAAAGCATGTTCATGAACATCTGAGAAGCCTGTCTGGATCCGTCTGGAGGCAGAGTGTCCTCTTTTTGGACATCAGAACATGGTCACTCTAGGGTAGTGCTCCTGCATAAATCCACATTTAAAATACATGTGTTGCATTGCGTTGTCTCCCTCCAGGTGCCGACCATGGCGATAGAGAAAGTCTTCATCTACAACAACACGTCCATCGTCCAGGATGAGGTCCTGGCTCACCGGTTAGGGCTCGTCCCCATCAGGGCTGACCCTCGTCTGTTTGAGTACAAGAACACAGGTGAGCACCGGGTCCAGGCCAGGGATGGGGATGGTTAATATTTATTGATATGGATACCTTTATCGATACTCCTTATCGATCCGAGTCTTTATCGATACCACTATCCATACTTTTCTGTTATTTGGTGGAAAGACGATGTGACAATATTTAGCAGATAAATAATTGTATTTTAAATTAAATGTAATTTTTAATAAATGTTGGCATCAGTAGTTTAATTATATATTCTAAAATAATTAGAGCAATATACAACTGTATTACTCATGTTTCTCGCCAAAAACTCAATTTCCCTTTTCTTTACGTTACACTTGAACGCATCATGATAACCTAATTGTGGTTTTACTGAGCCAACCTGAACACATCATCACGCAGCACGTCTGAAACTTTATTTACTTTTCAAGCTAACTAGCTTGTATGCTGCCGATTATAACACGGATTTCACAATTACTATTGTAATAATAAAAAAAACACCAGACTCCATAGTGGTATCGATAAGCCCAAACGGTATTGATTTTCGGGTTCTGAAAAAAGTGGAACCGGGTCCTTGATGGTGTGTGTGTCTGCTCCCTGACAGCTGAAGGCTCTGCAGAGGAGGAGGCTTCAGAGATAGACACCATCCAGCTGCAGCTGAAGGTTAAATGCAGCAGGAACCCCCGAGCCAGCAAAGACTCATCAGACCCACGAGAGCTGTATCTGAACCACATGGGTAGGTTCGCAAAACCCACGGTTCGGTTCGGTTCACGGTTTTGGGTTGGGTTCGGTATGTGTTGATTGTTAGGAAAATCTATTATGTCTTGTATAGTCAGGTTAAAACTGAAAGAAAAAAGCAGTCTGACATTTGATCCATTACTGTGACAGTCTGAGGTTAACCCTTTAAAGCCTGATCCAAGAATAAAACAAAACAGAAAATTACTTATTAATTATCTTAACTTGGCTTTTTAACAAAATATGTACAAAAAAAAAAGTATATTAATAATTTATTACTATGCGATAAGTCAATATTATTTTTTGTGTATCTTCTGCCCCCTGTTATCAGGTGTATCTGATTGTGTTCAATAGTTTTTACCATTAAATTATGCAAAACATTTCAGAAACCGGATGTATCAGATATGATACGTTTGGCATTACAGGGATAAAAGTAGGTGAGATTCTGGCATTGCAGGAGAGGAGACAGTGCTAGTTCCAACATGAACTTGTTTCCTACTGGTGGTTGGCTTTGGGCGCAGTAGCGCCCCCTTCTGCTCTGGAGTGTAAACGCTTCCCTCTGAGAAAAAGGAGCAGCAGGAACCCAACCAACACACGCCAACCCAACCCAGACACAACCCAACGGTTCACACGGGTTTCAGAAACCTGCTTCCTGCTCACGCCTTTTTTCCTGTCCTCCACCAGTGTACTCCCGGGACATAACGTGGGTTCCCATTGGGAACCAGGCCGACGTGTTTGCAGACTGCAGCATCGGCCCCGTGCACGACGACATCCTGATAGCTCAGCTGCGTCCAGGACAGGAGCTGGACATCACCATGCACTGTGTGAAGGGCGTGGGTAAGGATGGGGATGGTTAATATTTATTGATATGGATACCTTTATCGATACTCCTTATCGATCCCAGTCTTTATCGATACCACTATCCATACTTTTCTGTTATTTGGTGGAAAGACGATGCGACAATATTTAGCAAATAAATAACTGTATTTTAAATTAAATGATTTTTTAAATAAATGTTGGCATCAGTAGTTTAATTATATATTCTAAAATAATTAGAGCAATATACAACTGTATTACTCATGTTTCTCGCCAAAAACTCAATTTCCCTTTTCTTTACGTTACACTTGAACGCATCAATGATAACTTAATTGTCGTTTTACTGAGCCAACCTGAACACATCATCACGCAGCACGTCTGAAACTTTATTTACTTTCCAAGCTAACTAGCTTGTATGCTGCCGATTACAACACGGATTTCACAATTACTATTGTAATAATAAAAAAACCCACCAGACTCCATAGTGGTATCGATAAGCCCAAACGGTGTTGATTTTCGGGTTTTGAAAAAAGTGGAACCGGGTCCTTGATGGAACCGGGTTTGGATCCCCATCCCTGTGTTTAGGAAAGGACCACGCTAAGTTCTCCCCGGTGGCCACGGCCAGCTACCGGCTGCTGCCGGACATCAGCCTGCTGGAAACGGTGGAGGGGGAGCGGGCCGAGCGCCTCAAACGCTGCTTCTCTCCCGGAGTCATGCAAGTGGAGGATGTGGACGGTAGGATTGTCACGATATAAAATGTTCAACTGGATACCGATACTCAGGAAAATACTCGATACCATTTTCAATACCACAAGGATAAAAACAAAGACCCCAAAATTGAACTGAATTGTGTCTTTCATTTCAAACTGACCTGTTACTGATGTTATCGTTACTGGTGGCCCCATTGTCAGGGTTATGCCCCTAAACACTTCTAAACTCATTGCTGTAAGTGGACAAAAATAGACAGACACAGTAAGTTCAGTGAATACTTGCAAGGAGAGCACCGGAGACTCTACAATCTCCACCCTACTCTGAGCTCTCTCTGCTCTCCTTTTATTTGATTCCTACCACATCTTGTGACTTCATCTTCTCGAAAGACAGAAGAAGCATACATGATTGATTATACATTGTTCTTAATCACAGGATGCAACTGGTTTGACAGTAAAACAAAGTCCGGTTGTTTCTCTGTTTCACGCTGCCAGAAAGGACTGTGGTCACAAAGATCATTACTGTGGTCAGCTTCTCATATCTGCAAACCAACTTGTACTTATGATAACAATTTCTTGCTATCACACAAGCACAGTTAAACCTTTACATACACACACATATATATCAGAGAATGCATGATAATTATTGTACAATTATTCTAACACCCATTAATGACCCTAACCCTAATCCTGACCCTCCACCCTGTGAGTTTGTCCTGTTCATTAACAGCTATGGGACTATGCTCCCATTAGGGTTTTCACAATACTAATATTTTCAACTGGATACTCAGGAAAATACTCGATACCATTTTCGATACCACAAGGATAAAAACAAAGACCCCTAAATTTAACTGAATTGTGTCTTTCATTTCAAACTGACCTGTTACTGATGTTATTGTAACTGGTGACCCACATTAATAACCCTAATCCTAACCCTGACCCTGACCCTACAGCCTTCATAATTGTGAGAAATAAATTTTTTTTGGTTAAACTTGTTTGGACTTATTGTACAAACCTATTTAACATCCACTATTTTAACATAATATTATGGATAGAGTTTAATTCAGTGTTTGAAAGATTCATTTCACTATTTTTAAATTAATGTCTATATTGCCATGAAGCAATTACCATTTTCTTGCCTGGAATCTTCCTATTGGTGACCTAATCAAAATGGCCGACGTGGATGTGGGTGGAGTTGGATATGTACTTGATTAATGGTAGCACGTTATTATTAGCCATTAGCTGCAGCTAGCAAGGCTAACGTCTTGTTAATGATCATAAACAACGTAAATAAATACATAAATAAATCAGAGAGAAGGGGGGTGGTATCCATACTTTTGAAAATGAGTATCGTATCCGGATACAACATTTTAGTATCAGTACTTTTGACAACTAGCCGGGGGCTCCGGGCTGACTGTTGTTTATTGTTTATTTATTTGGATCCCCATTAGCTGTAATCAGTATTTTGACAGCTACTCTTCCTGGGGTCCTTTTAGAATTATATACATACACAAAACATATCAAATGATAACATCATAAGAACAATTATACATTTCAAATGATTTCACCTTACATTACAATCTGTTACCCAAATATTCATGAATTAAGGCTTTCAACAAAGTATTTTTTTTAAAGTGTTTTAAATGCACCTTTGGTAGCAGCAGTCCAGATGTTTTGAGGCAGTTTGTTCCACAGAGTCTCAGCTCTGAACCCTAACCCTAACCCTAACTCTAACCCTAACCCTAACCCTAACCCTAACCCTAACCTTAGACCTGCACACTGCTTCTTTTCTCCCAACGGGTCGAGTCAAATGACCAGAAGCTGCCCGCCTGGTTGAATAATTGTGCTCATTTCTCACATAATGTAGAAAGCTGAACAAAAGTGCTCGTGCTGTTTCTCACAGGGAGGAAGGTGGCCAGAGTGGTCAACAGCCGGCTGGACACCTGCAGCAGGGAGGTCCTCCGCCACAGCGACCTGAAGAACGCCGTGAAGCTGGGCAGAGTGCGGGACCACTTCATCTGTAGGTCCACCTTTTTAACGATTGTATTTTTCAGTTTTATCATTTCCGTCCTATATTTTTATTTCTACATTTTATTTCTTGCTTCTCATAGAAGTGTTGTGTTGTGCACCAAACACCAAAAAGGCAAATTCCTTGAACTGACCAGTGTATATATGTTGTATAGTTCTACTCTTGTCTATGCTTTTATTATTTCCTACTGTGATTATTTTTATTTATTTTTTATGATTTGTTTATAATGTAATATAATTTCTTCATGTGAGGACCCCAGGAAGACTAGTGGCCTTTATTTGGCAGCTAATGGGGATCCTAATAAAACTAAACTCAAACTAAACATAAGCCTTTGCATGCCTGCCCCACACCCTGCCCTACCCAAATATCCTATCTCAAAATATTAGAATATGGGATTTTTGAGTTTTCTTCAGCTGTAAGCCATAATCAGCGATATTAAAACAATAAAAGGCTTGCGATATTTCAGTTGATTTGTGATGAATCCAGAATGTATGACATTTCATGATTTTTAATTGCATTACAGAAAATAAAGAACTTCATCACCATATTCTAATTTTCTGAGACAGTCCTGTATGGTTCTGCTGTTGATGGGGGGGGGTCTCTGTTTTTTTCTCTTCCAGTCACAGTGGAGTCCACCGGCATCCTGCCTCCAGATGTGCTGGTGACAGAAGCCATCAAAGTCCTGATGACCAAGTGCCAGACGTTCCTGAACGAGCTGAACTCCACAGACCTGGGCTAGGACCTCTGATCTGGACCTAAAGAGCATTCTGTGACCGCGCTTGCATTTCGTTTACCTCAGCTTTCCAAACGAACTCTGGATTTCACAGAAAACCTTCTTCAGTTGTGTGGATTTTTGTTGATGAAAGCCTGATTTGAAGCAGATCTTCCTGTTCAGTCTCGTCATTGTTTTTCATCACTGCAGTTTATGACTTATTCAGATAAGATAAGAGCTTTATTGATCTCACAGTTGAGAAATTCACTGGTCACACATCGGTTAGAGTTCAAAAGGAGGAAAAGGTGCATAAAGTACAGCAAAAGCAAACAAATATACAAGGAAGCAACACAGCGCAGAGATTTGGGTGACTCAAATATATACAAGGCCCCCCCAGTTCAAACCTGTAACCCTCCGGTTTGAGTTGGGACTCATAAATATGAACTGGTATCTCCAAACATGTGCTCAGCTCAGACCTACTGTACATCAGTACAGGGTGGGCTGATGGCTATAAAAAGGAAGTTTAGCTGGTTATGAAGGAACCACTGCGTTAGCGTTAGCGTTAGCTAAAGTCCAGGCTGTGGGACCGCCCCCGGACAGAGGAGGCCTACTGGTTTCTGTGATGTTCCTCAGATCAAATATACATTTAGCAGGTGCTGCAATTCAAAGATAAAGGAGGAATAAGAATCCATTACGTTTGATTCCCCCTGCTGGTCGGGCTCTGAGGGAGTAAAGGAGCTCATAAGAAATGTCTTTTGGGCTTCAGCTTCTACAAAAGTGTTAGCCACAGCCCTTACTTTGGATTATTAGAGCTACAATAAAAGCAAATAACAGGTCTGAACTGTGTAATGTTCACATCAGGTCTACACGTAAAATGACAAAAGTACATCAACGAATGAAAACCACTGTCAACTTCACATTATTACTCAGTTTAGAGGGGAACTGGACTCTCGTCCAATGGGATGTGAGCATGTAATAACAGTTATTATTTTACAAAAGCTCTTCTCTGGCCTCCATGCTTTTAAATAAACTCTGTGTGATACGCCCCTCCACCTCAAACAGTGGAAAAGCAGACTAGAAGATAACTGACATGGTGGAAAACAAACGGGGAGGGTAGCAAAGTGAATTTACTGTGTTTGTACTATTATGATTCATTTAAATATTTTTCATATTCAAATCTTTGTATATTTCCATTCCTTTGTAGTTTCAAATGAAGCTATCATCATACTCTGCACCCATTCATGACAGAAACAAAGGAAATCATTTAGTTTGTTAGAAAGTACAAGAAAATAAAAACGATATCATCACAGAAGCCCAATTAGTTTAAATTTTTAGAGAAAAAGGCAACAGAGTTAGAACTCCTAATTAGTTGAAAATGCTCAAACAACCAGAGCAAAGCTCAGAGTGTGAATTAAAGCTCCTCCTGATGCAAAGAAGAGACAAAGAAAAGACACAGAGTGTCCTCAGTGTGTCAGCTTTGGAGCCCCCAACCCTCTGTGGGACCTAAAACCAGAGAACCTGTCAGAATTAAGGAGAAAAAAACACCAGAAGAAGGATGGAGGTTATCGAGAACAGAGAGAAGAAGTATAAGCTGATCCTGAGAGGAGAAGGAGCATTTAGCTGCTAATCTTATTAGTTATTTGGTAAATAACTAATATATAAATACAGTGGGGGAAATAAGTATTTGAGCCCTTGCTGATTTTGCAGGTTTGCCCACTTACAAAGAATGCAACGATCTATAACTTTAATCATATGTACGTTCTAACAGTGAAAGACAGAATCCCAAAGAAAATTCCAGAAAATCAC